TGCAGCGAAGGGGCTGCAACCCTGGCAATTTTTCCCCTTCTCAGCTGTTTTCCTGTGCTTTATCCGCCCTGGAGCGGCTGAGCCCCCTCGGAAGGGAAAGGAGGCTGGAGGATCCCCTGACACTCCCGGACCGGGAGCTGGGAACCCCTGGCTCTCCCTGGATCCCCAGCGCCGCTGTGGTGCGACCCTCGGGCTTGTCCCTGTCCCCTCTGCTGTCCTCCGCGGCTCATCCCAGGGCTCCCCGCGGCTCGGAACGGAACGGCGCAGCACGGCTCCGGGCACAGGCGCTTTTCCAGCTGGCCACGGCATTCCCGGCGCGTCTCAAGGCCGTCTGCGTCCAAGGGTCGTGTTTGCGGGCGCGGAGGGACGCGGCGGCTCCGCAGCGCTGTCCCCTCCGCCCGCAGCTCGGGGACCGCGTGCCCTGCCCGCGCCCCCCGCGGCTGGGGACAGTGCGGGGCGCGGAGCCGCGGCCGCTCGGGGGTCCGAGGAAAAAGGCAGGAACTTAACTCCCATTAACCACCCCATTGTACCGGCCGTGGGAATAATCGGGTTTGCTAATGCAATTGCTGCCGCGATGCGAAAATCCGACTGGAAAATGTATTAGAGCAATTATCCGCCTCCCTCCGCAGCCGGCGGAGCATTAATATTCAATTTTGATGTGGAAGCCCTATTATGTTAATGACTTTGGTGACAAAAGTCGTTAATGTAAGTCGGTTCCTTTATGGCGCGGCATTAGCCGGGGTGAGCGCGGCCGCGGGGCGGGATGGAACGGGGGGCACGGCGCGAGGAGCCCGGGATGGGGCGGCGTGGGGAGCCGGGATGAGCCCCCTCCCCACCCCGCACGGCCCTCACGCCTCGGGCCGAGCGGCCGCTCCCCGGCCGGGGCTGCCGGTGCTCCGGGGGCTGTGCCGGGGCGGATTAGCCGCGCTGCAGCGCATCCGGCAGCGCCGCTCCCTCCGCTGCAGCTGCCCTCCTTTGTTCTCTCCCCGGGCCCCGGGAGATGCACCGGTGCTTCCCCGCCCGCCGGCGAGCGCGGCGGGGCCCGGCCGGGCTGGCCGCTGTCCCGGCCATCGGGCGACACCGGGGCTGTGCCCGTGCCCGGTGCTCGGTGCGCTGCCGTGGTTTGGCAGCGCCGCAGGCAGGCCTGGCCGGCTGGGGGATGGAGCCAGGGCTGTGCGCTGGGGATGGGAGAGGCGGGGAGGGGGATGAGGAGCGGTCGGGGGTGTCAGCCCATGGGCGGTGTGACACTGAGCTGCGCCGTGCTGGTGTCCTGGAGCGCTGGAGGGACGGAACGGACAAACATGGAGCTGGGAGCTGCCTGTGACGGAGGAAACGACCGTGACCTTCACCTTTCCAGCAGAGCTCGTCCTCCTGCCGCTGGGCTGGCAGCGCCCGGCTTTGCCATGGCACGGGCATGGGGCTGGCCTGGCGCTGGGGCCGGTTGGGAATTTCTGACAGCCAAGGAGGGAACAGCAGATCCCAGGCACAACCCAGGCACAGGATGGGATTTCCCGGTGGTCCTTTCCGGGACCCCGTGGGAGGCTCCTGCCCGGTGCAGTGCCCTCTGTGCTGGGCACAGCCCTGTCCCAGTGCACAGATGTACACGTGGCTCTCTCCCAGCCTTGGGTTTCCTGTGTGCTGCAGCTCCGTCTGCATGGGGGCTGCAGCAGCTGGGATTTGCTGCCCAGAGCCCCCAGGACGATGACCGCCACCTCAGTCCCGGCAATAACGGGCGAGTGGGGCCACAGGCAGCCAACTCCGAAATAACCCTGCTGCCACCTCTGGCTGTCAGGGCCCGCCCCGACCCACCACACATCCCGGACAGCTCCCGAGGTTAGCAGCCGGCGCTGGGGCCGCTCCACCGTGATCCCCTGGGGTCTACCGGAGCACGAAGATGCCGAGCCGTCGGTGGCATCGGGATCCGGCACTGATAGCGTACGGACAGGCACGCGTCCTTGGCACTGCGGGGACGGGGCGCCCGCTGGGGACACAGCCCGGTGGCACGGGGCCCCGCTCGGCCGTGCCGGGGTCCCCCCGGTCCCCTCGCGGTCCCCGCTCCCCGCGGAGCCGGCTCCGCGCGCACGTGGCCGGGCCGGGCCGTGCCCCGCGCTCCGCCCCGCGCGCCCATTGGCCCAGCGCCCCCCATCCCGCGCTCCCATTGGCCCAGCGCCCCCCGTCCCGCGCTCCCATTGGCCCCGGAGCCCTTCACAAACAAAGGCCGGAGCCCGGCGGGGGGCCCGGCGCGCCGCTCTGATTGGCGGGGCGAAGGGGCGGGGCGAACCAGGCAAGCCCCGCCTGCAGAGCGGCGCCGGATGCCCCAATATGGAGCTGGGCGGGGCCCGCCCATTCATGCGCGCAGGGAGGGGCGGGGCCAGCGGGGCTGCGCTTCCCGCCCGCGGCGCGCGCGGCTCGTTCCCACGGCGCGGGTGGGGGAATGAATGGGCGCGCGCGGGGCACCGCACCGGAGCCGCGCGGCCCGGTAAGGCCCGGTGAGGCTCCGTACGGCCCGGTAAGGCCCGGTAAGGCACCCTGTGGCTCGGAACGGCTCGGTACAGCTCGGTGCCTGTGCTGGGTGGGGGTACGTACAGGTGGGGAGCGCGAGTGTGACGGTGCCGGGGCTGCGTGGGGCGGGCGCGATCGTGTCCTGAGTGTGCGTGGCTGCGCGTGCATCCCCCGTGCTTGTACCCCCGGTGCTGTGTCCACCTGCACGCCCCTCTGTGCCTTGCACACACCCACGCGTGCTTTGTTCTGGGGAGCGAAGGGGGCTTCCCGGCGCTCCCCACGCCCTTGGCTCTGCATCGCTCCTGCCCAGCCCCTGGGGCAGCACCAGCGTCCCAAATGCTTGGGGACCCCCATCCCAAAATCTGTCCCATGGTGAGTACCCACTGCGGTGCCCCACGGCTGGCGCTGGGTGACACCATGGCGGGGACACCACGGGCTCTCACCTCCCTCCAGCACGGGCTGTGCTGTTTGTCCCACGCTGCTTTAACCCCCCAAGATGGGTTTGGCCCCTTGCCTCCATCCTCCTCATCGTGCCCATAAATTCATTCCCGATCCCGTTCCCAACCTGTCAGGCCCTCGCGGGACATGCGGCAGCTCCCAGCCCGTGCTGGAGATATGGACTGAACTTTGGTCCCTGAGCAATTAAGGTGCCTGAAACTGCACTTCATTAATGGTTGTTCCGCAATAAACTGCCATCAAACTGCCCTTATTTGCAATATAAAACTGCAATTTGTTTTAATTTATGTTTTTCAATCCCTGCCGGGTGGTTCCGGGGATCTGCCAGGCATCTGTCACTGGAACCAGACATGAGGAGCAGGGTGGCCCTGGGTGCTGGGTGGGGTGTGGGTGGGCTTGCCCCAGGTCTGGAGAGGGGGTTTCCATTCCTCCCCATTCCCCGTGGACCCTGCGCCGTGTCCCCCAAGAAGGGAGGGTAGGGATGCTCCCATGGCTCCAGGGAAGAGCATCCCCATGCCATGGGAGGTTCATGAGAGCCCCCTGGCCACGGAGCTGCCACTGAGGTGAATTCCTGAACACGAGTGGGGTGGGTGGGAGCAGAGATGGACCCAGCTGTTTTCCTGGGACAGCGTCACCCGTGGGAGCTGGGAATCTGGCTCAGCTCAGCATGTGCCAGCACACGTGTGCACATCCCTGCGGAGCAGCATCGGACCCAGCAGCGGCCCCTGGACATCCCGAGCGATTTGTACTTCCCTGCAGCAGCACAGAATCCCCGCGGGCTCAGCCAGCCCCGAGCCCCCATTTCTAATTACAGTCACTGTGGCTCTGCCATCCTCCGAGGCTGGTTGTTCTCCGTGGCTCCAGATCCGACGGGAGGAATCTGGGCCACGGGGCAGGACTGGGGAGGGCTCTGAGCCACCGGGGATTCCCGGTGGATCCTGCCGTGGGAACGCTGCCGCTGGCTCCCAAACCGCTCAGGGCCCTCGGCCGGCTCCCGGTGTCCCCTGCCGGCGGAGCAGGGTCGGGGGCCCTGGTGCTGCCCGGCTGTTCGGAGTGGTTGGAGCTTTCCAGAGAATTCTCCTTGCTCTCGGCAGGTGCTGAGGTGATGGGAAACCGCCCTGGCGCTGCTGGGACGGAGCGCGGCTCCTGCCGGAGGCAGAATTTGGGATGTTCAGAGCTGCTGAGCAGCTGATGGAACCTGAGGAGCTGCAGGCAAACCCTGGAGATGGGCACGGACGAGCCCCGGGGCTGTGGCACAGGAGGGTGGCAGAGCAGGGGCAGCTCCCTTGGTGTCCTCATCCCGTGCCACGACGACTCCTGGCTGGCTCTGCACATTTCCCAAGCCCCTGGCTCCCACTCGGACACCGAGAAGCCACCAGAGCCCTTTTCCTGACCACATTCCTGAGGGGATCCTTCATCCCAGCCCGAGGACACACACGGACACAGCCACCGCCCCGGCACAGGAGCCAGGAAAAGCAGCCGGAGCTACCGATGCCACGGCGCACCTGGAGGGAATTAGGCCGCCTGTTCACCTCCCTGCAAACCTTTTGTAGAGCGAATTCCTGCGGTTTCCCATCGCAATTGCTGCAAATTATACGAGCGCCGCGTTCCGTTCCGTGCCCTTGGCGAGTGCCGCTCGGAGCTGCCGCCACGCCTGCCCTCGGGGGACCCATGCAGAGCCCCCCCACGTCTTTCCTTCTTTTTCCCTTATCCCGCGGGATGCGGGGGGCACGGAGCTGGGGATGGCTCCGGGGTGGATGGGGATGCTGGGGGGGATGGGCTCCCTCGAGTCATGTGCACACACGCGTGAAGAGGCAGCGGCACGAGCACCTCCGTGCCGTTCCGCACACGGCTCCGCTGGATGCGTGTCCCGGTGCGCTCCCGCCGCCCCCCGGCCCTGCTCAGCCCCCCGGGGGCGCCCCCCGCCACGGGACCCCTTTGTCCTCCGGCACCATCGAGTCCGGGCCGGAGCGGCGGCCGGAGCGGCCCCGCGCGCACGCGTCACTTCCTGCGGCGGCGGCGGAAGCCGGAAGTGCCGCTGTGGCCGGTGCCGGGTCGGGGCGTGCCCGGTGGGGCCATGGCGGGCACGGCCGGCTGAGGGAGACCGGGGGCACCGGGCGCTCCGAGCCGGCCGTGGGGCCACAAACCGGGTCCTCCGCCGCGAGCCATGGCGGCGGCGGCGGGTTCCAACTGGGGCCTGATCATGAACGTGGTGAACAGCATCGTGGGGGTGAGCGTGCTCACCGTGCCCTTCTGCTTCCGACAGGTGAGGGCCGCCCGCCGGGTCCCAGCGGGGTGCTGCCGGCGTCCCCCGGGCTGGGGCGTGCCCGTGGCAGCCTGAAGCCCCTGCGAGCTCCACCGCGGCCGGGCCGAATTCCGGCCCGAATCTGGGGGTGGGTCCCTGGTCGGAGAGGAAACTCAGCAAAGGAATCGCTTCAGACCCAGACCGGGCATCTCGTGTTCCAAACCCTGCTTTTTTCCCAGCCGTGGAGTCCCCAACTCAAAACTCGTGCTCCAAACTCGGGGTTTTTCCCTGCCCTGTAGTCTCTCTGACGACTTCTGCCTGTCTTGTAAGGAGAAGGGATAAATTAAATTATCATTAAATATGATAAACAGAACTCAGAAGCTTTTCCAAACTCAGCTGTGCCCCTGCACCTCTCCCTGGCATCTGGGGCTGTGCCAAGGCACCTGCTGGGTGCCCGTGGTTGCCAGCCCTGCACACGGGGAAGGCAGCGGGGCAGGGTCTGGCTGAGGAGTGCGTGATGCCATCTGGCTGTTGGTAAATAAGTTTGCAGCAGAGGTGGCACCTCGGGGTCTGTCTGTGCTCCCTGCAGGGATGAGCCAGGATGGGAATCCTGCTCCCAGTTGGCTGCTCAGGGATTGGACTGGTGCAGCTGGGAGCTGTGAGAAGCAGGTGTGTGTTCCACGTGTCCTTGAGCCGTGGAGAGAGTGATGTGGAGCTGCTGGAAGGGGACAGAACTTCCTGAAAGAGGGAAAAGCGTGGCTGGAACACGGGAAGGAGCTGAGGGTGCTGAGGGAGGGTGGCTGGGCTGTGGTGGGGGGCTGACCCCCCATCTCCTGCTGTGCTCTGCAGTGTGGGATCCTCCTGGGAGCCGTGCTGCTGATCTTCTGCTCGTGGATGACTCACCAGTCCTGCATGTTCCTGGTGAAGTCGGCCAACCTCAGCAAGCGCAGGACCTACCCCGGCCTCGGTGAGACCCAGCTCTGGGGCTGCTCCCCGGCCCTCCTGCTCTTCTGACAGCGCCCTGGCCTTCCTTGGCCTCCCCATTTGCATTTCCTCCGAGGTGTTGTTGGAACAACAAATGTTTCCTTGCTGCAGTGCCCAGTTTGCCTCTGGCCCGGGGCGGTGCTGGGGTGGATCCTGCTCCCAGAGCCCTGTTAATGGGCGCTGAGTTGTTTTGACTCCGCGGGGCAGGGGAGGAGATGATCCAAACCCCAGCTCCCGGGAGCCATCTGGGATCAATTGTGGGGCTGGGATGAATTAATTATGGGTCTGGGCACGAGTTCCCCACCCAGCGCTGCCGGGACAGCAGGTCCTGCCAGCCTGGCACGGAGCTGGGCTGCCTGGATCTGAGCTGGGAGCTCCTGTATGGCTCAGCAGAGAGGAAACAGAGCGAGGTTCCAGTGGGCTGAGAAAATAAAAACATCTGGAGATCCCTGGGTGGGTTTTGGCAGAGCCAAAAACCTCAGAGCTCAGTGCTGGCGCCGGGATTGGCCTCTGCTCAAGGCCTCTCTTGGGATTCTGACTGCCCTGGGGAGCAGGAGGAGGTGTTTGGGTTCCAGTCCTTGCCGTTGGCATATGGAGCAGTGGGAAAAGCCTCCTTTTCCTCCCTCTGCCTTACTTTTCTGTGGCAGGAGGGAGCTGCTTGGCACTGCCCTGGCACAAGGGCTCCCGCCAGCTGCTGACGGATGGGTTTGCTCCTCCCTCAGAGCGTCCAAGGTGCTGCTCCCAGGAAGCACATCCTGGCTCCTGCTGCCTTGTCTCTGCTAGGAACAGAAAGGATGGACAAGCTCTGTGGTCTGGGAGGTTGTTTTGGTGCCAGGGGGAAGGGGGAGCCCCCAGCCCAGCTGCCGGTGCCGCTGCTCCCTGCCCCTCACAAAACTCCTTTGTGTGCTGCTTCCCGGAGGACAGAGAGTCCCCTCCACCTTGGAGCGTGTCCCGGGAAGGAGGGATCCTCTGCCCGCCCGGGAGCTGAGGGGCTGGAGTACAGAGAGGGCCAGTGATGCTTCCCAGCTTCCTCCTGGCAGGGGGCTGGCAGCAGCACCGTGCCCGTTCCCGGTGCCCTGGGAGAAGTGCCACACGCTCCCGCGCCGCATCCCAATGCTGCGAGGCCGGGCAGCTCCACACAGCCGCCTTTGTCCCCACAGCCTGGGCCCGGGGACAACTGCGGGCGCTCCTGGGAGGCTTTGGCAGGAGGAAAGCTGTGCGCATTCCCTGCAGGCGGGCAGAACCTTCCGGAGGAACTCGGGCAGCCGCGGCTCCGGCACAAAGCCTGGCCCGGGCCGGGGCTGGCGCTGCCTCCGCAGCACGGCGGGAAGGGCAGGGGCTGCAGGGAGATGTGTGGCTGAGGAGGGAAGCGGGAGGCAGTTCCCTGATGGGTTTTAACCAGGAGAGGAGCTAATCCCTCCCCTTCCAGCAGCACTCGGGATGTGCTGGGGCTGTGCTGGGCGGTTCCTGAGGGGCAGCTCAGCCCTGCAGGACAAGGGGCTGAAGCGCTGTCCCAGGAACCACACTGGGTTTGAAAGGCTTCTCCAGGTACTGAGCAAGCTCTGCCCAGTTGATCCCATTCCAAGGATTTGATTATACCATTTATTTTACAGTCATTACCTTCTGGAGAAGATAAAGAATCCCATTTTTCCATTGTCCCCAGGTGGGGACACCTGCCCACAATGTTTTGAGGCTTTTTCTCATTCAGCATCAATTCCAAACAGCCGGGGAGATGGGCTGGTTCCAGCATCACCCAGGGCTGTGTCAGTATCCAAAGGCTGGAATGTGCTCTGGGAGGAAAGGCAGCACCATTCCTCCATTCCCCCCCACCCTGAGCTCAGCCTGTTACTGACCCATCTCCAGGAGGATGTTTTCCTCTTGCTGGCTCCTCTTTCTCCTCCCAGACCCTTCGTCTGTGGGCCTGACCCCCCCAGAGCTGTTGCCTTTTCCCTCATGGTTGTGAATTCCCAGAGGAGGCCGGAGTGGAGCGGCCGCTCCCTGTGCCTGGGCACAGTGCCTGGTGGCGGCTGTCCCACTGCCCTGTCACTGATCCAGCAGCTATTTTGGGTGCTCCCCCACATCCCTGCTCCGGGCCGTGGGTCCCTGCCGTGCCTTTTGCTCATTCTGTGGGAGAACATCTCGTTTCCTGAATTTTTAGCTCGAGTAAGAGTCCAAGGAAATCAAGAGTTGAAGCTAATGTTTAAAATAGCAGAAGAAGCTTCCAGAAAGGATTTGAGTTTGTTTTCTGGTGGGCGCTGGGAGTGTTGGGCTGTGCCTTGAGGGAAGGCAGAGGGGACTCCAGGGTGGTGGGGTCATGCTGGACCTCACTGGCAGATTTGAGCACTGTGGTCTGGGTTTGGCACCAGAGCTCCCCATTCCTGTTCTGCCCAGTAAGAGCTAAAAATAGAAGTAAAGTTTTCTTGGCATTGTCTTTTTAAGAGAAAACCCAGTGATTTGAGGACTATTGAGCATTTTCTGCTCCAACCCCAGGATGGAAAGGGGGAAAGCAAAGCCTTGGCAGCAGCCCTTTGGTGTGGGTTGGGAGGACTGGGTATTCTGGGAATGGGATTGAACGTTCTGGGCACCAGCTCAGCTCTCCCAGCCAGCCGTGTCGGGCAGCCCAGTTCGAGGGGGAAGATAAAAATAAAAAGGGGACTTGGATTGGAATTCTGCACCACTTTAACTTTCGCCACACACAATCTTGTACAGGAATATTTTCTCTCCCATTGCCTTTAATGGCTGCCATGTGTGGCTGCTGCTTCACACCACTTCTGGTTTTAAACAGAAAAAAAAGAACCTGCTTGCTGGCTTTCCCTCATCCCTGCTCCCGTCTTATGTGGTTTTCAGTTTCCAAAGGGAAAGGCTGAAAAAGAAAGTGGGAGGGTGAGGAAAATGGCCCCAAAATACCAGTGGTGGGTTCCTTCTGCACTGCCCTGTGTCACTGTTGGTGTCTAATTGTGAACTGACATCTTGCCCTGTTCTGGACCTTTCTTTGACTGACTTCCACTCTTTTTTCCCTTTTTTGCCAGCATTTCATGCCTATGGAAAAGCAGGAAAAATGTTGGTGGAAACAAGGTAAATCTGCTGCTGATTCAAAATGTGAACAGTTTGGGTGTCTGTGGCAAGAACCTTTCTGAGCCTTGCTGTGCTCTCCTTCCTTCCTGTGCTGCCTCCTGGAATTCCACAGGAGGCTGGGTGAGATGCCCTGAGCACAGCTCCCAGGTGTCACCTCCATTCCTCCCAGGCACTGGGAGCACAGAAGGTGGGGATGAGCTCCCCTGCTGCTCTGCTGTGAAATCACAGCCGTGTCACTCGTGGCAGCTTTCCAGGGGTGACATCCCTGCTGTTGAGTTAGTGGGAGGGAGTGTTTGCTTCCTTGCATCCTGGGATCTGCTCTGCTCCTGCCCTCTGTGCTCCCTTCCCTGCGAGATGCCTTGAGGGGGAATCCTGCCTCCATCTCTGCTTCCTCCCATGACCCCAGTGCAGATGTCAGGTGATGGCACAGTCCTCACAGCCCTGCTTTTTCCAGCAGGGATTCTTTTCCAGGCACGTTGAGCCCAGGGCCGGCAGTGGTGCCAGCTCCTTTGCTCCTCCCAGCTGCAAACTTATGCTCAGCACTAAAAATACACAGAATATTCCTCAGATGTTACTTGTCCATGCAAGCAGAGGCTGTAATTGCCACAGGGATGTTCTATAATTGGAACTGGGAAGGAAAGTGGTCCAGGAGTGGGAGGAGAAGCAGTTCATGGACAATCTTTTCATTAAAGTGTGGTCCATTATGTGGAGAGACATTGGAGAGCCCACTGGATATTGAGACTCTCATGGCAGCGTCCTGCTGTGGGTGTGGGGCTCTGAGAGCCTCGTGCTGATTTCTTTTGAATTTTTCCAGGAGTTCAAGTAGTTCTTGTCATCTCCAAGATTAGTTTTCCTTGGTTTTTTTCCCCGTGGCTCCCAACAGGAGTTAAACTCCTTCATGGGTTGTGGGCAGAGCTGCGTCTCCGGGTGTTTGGTGTGGATGGAGGTTCTTTGGTGGCTGTTTTATTGGCATGGGGTGCAGAAGGGCTGCCCTGCTCTTCCCAGCACTGAGGATGGGAGCGTGGCCCTCCTAACCTGTCCCTGTTTGTGTTTGCAGCATGATTGGGCTGATGCTGGGCACTTGCATCGCTTTCTACGTCGTCATCGGCGATTTGGGCTCCAACTTCTTTGCCCAGATGCTCGGATTCCAGGTGAATAAATCACTCCTGCAGTGCTCCCAGACCTTGCCCTGAGCCCTGTGTCTCCTGGCTACAGCAGAGCTCCTGCCCTGGGGTGTGCTCAGCACTCCCTGGGGTCCCAGGGGGGCTTTGTGGGGTCCCCTCACGGGGAGATCCTCGTGCACGGAGCCTCAGCTCTGGGAAGTCTGGGAAGCTCAGACATATGGCAAACAATCAGCTGTGTAAAACTCCAATAAGGCATTTCCATCAAAGGAATTCTTTTTAACTTGTTCCCTTATTCATTCTGGAGCAAATTCCCGGGAGAGATAATGCTTCCTGCCTTAATTCTGCCCCAGTGGGTAGTGACAGGCAGTTCCTCTGCCTGAGCTCTCCTCCCTGTAGTTCAGGAGGGATTTTTGTCCTGTCCCTGGCCGGTTTTGTGGGCAAAGTCTCAGTGTTCCTGCCTCCTCAGCCGTGTGATGAGCCTGCTGCTGGCTCAGGATGCTCCGAGGCAAGAGGTGCTCTGAGGAGCCGGCACGAGGGCTGTGCAGGGAAGCAAAAGGATTTTTGGTAGAGTGTTATCTGTGCTGCCTGATGCTCCTAAGCTCAGATTAAGGGACTGTGAAGTTAAAAAAGATGTGTTGAGGCTGCAGCCAAATTAGGTATTAAATATTTCCAAGCATTCCAGAGTGTTCTGCTATAATAAATACCAGTGTGAGGCTTTGATTAATTTTCTGGATTGGAGTTTTCAACACTTTCAATTTCTCATCTTCCCAAGTAAATTTAGGTTTTATTTAATTGCATGAAAATACCTAAATAGCTTGTGCTGGATTAGCATTTAACCCCCCCAGCCACCCTCCAAATTCTTCCAGCTCGGACCTGTCATACACTGCAGAGCAACAGTGGCACCCAGTGACTGTCTGAGCTCAGCACAGACAGAGCCCGCAGAGCGCCGAGCTTGCAGCCTCTTCAAGCACCTCCAGACACACAATTGCCCTGTTTAAAGTTGCCTTTCACTCTGGAAAGATGAGCCATGCCCGGGTTGGCTGCCTGGGGGGGTGTGTTGGTATCCTCCCTGCTCCAGGTGTTGATGCAGGTCTCTTCTGCAGGTGTCGGGCCCGTTCCGCATTGTCCTGCTCTTCGCAGTCTCCCTGTGCATTGTCCTTCCCCTGAGCCTCCAGAGGAACATGATGGCCTCCATCCAGTCCTTCAGTGCCATGGCTCTCATCTTCTACAGCGTCTTCATGTTTGTGGTGGGTATGGGCACCAGGCATCCCGCTTTCCTACTTCCTCTTGGTTTTTTGTTGATGAGTTTCACCTCCCAGGTGCTCTTGTGATTCCCTCCTAGAGCCCCAGCCCTGTCTCACCCAAATTTCAGGACTGGAAGGAAAGGGAGGTGTGGGAATTCTTTCCATGTAACTTTTCTAGTAGGCTGTGCAGGGTCACACCTCGGAGCTGCCTCCTCAGGGAGGTGTGCAGCCTCCCAGGAGCTGTGCCTTTAAGAAACCACAACATTCACAAGAGCTGGCTGCACTGAAACGTCTCTGGGGATTAGAAACCCCATCCAAGGATATTATAAACAGACATTCAGACATATTTACCTTCTGCTTCCTGTGCAACCCAACTCCTGCCAGTTCTTGTGTCCATGGCAAGGGAGCTCCCTGGCCTCGGCTCCTCCCTCTTTCCATAAAGTTTTTCCTTCTCTTTGGTGAGCTGGTGGTGTTAAATGGCCCTGGAGCAGCAGGTGGGATCCTGTTTTAGGACCCTTTGTCTCTCTCTGCTAAACAGGATTCTCTAAGGCCAGCAGTGCTTCCTGTTTGGATTGAAAAACACGTGTTAAAAAACACATTTTAAAAAGTGCAAAAGGGTTTGCTTTGAACAATAATTCGCATGGTTAATGTGTTGGTGGAAACTGTGTGTGCTATGATGTCTGATGGCATCAAACAAGGGGGGAATGTCATAGATCCCTTGAAATACTCTCTGGGATCCTTGGTGGCCCTGGGAGCTGTGTGGGTGGGACATGGAGCAGGGGGATTGGGATGGGGCTGTGGTGGCAGCTCAGGCTGCTCCCTGCACAGCTGTCACACGCTGCCTGTTATCCCAGCCTGGCATTGCTGCTGCCCTGGAGCTGTTTGGGGCTGGCTGCTCACCCAGGCTGTCTCTCCTGGCTGCAGGTTGTGGTGTCCTCCTTCAATCACGGGCTCTTCAGCGGGCAGTGGCTGCAGCGAGTGAGTTACATGCGCTGGGAGGGCATTTTCCGCTGCATCCCCATCTTTGGAATGTCTTTTGCCTGTCAGTCGTAAGTACCTGCCATTCCCAGCCCTGGCAGCTGTTCCTGCAGTGAGTTTGTGTGAGGGCACAGGGTCAGGAGGATCTGCAAGGGATAGATACCATCTGCTTTGGTGGCTTGTTTTCATCAGAGTACTTTACAGCTCGATGAAGTTCAGGCTCTCATTCAGTCGTGACCCTTTTGTTACCCAGACCCTTTTGTTATTCCATTTCACCTGGGAACTCTTGTAATGGAGCAACATGAGACCACTGGAGGCAAACAGCTCCTCGGGAGCTTCTGGTGCAGCTGCAGGAGGGATGAAATTCCCCTGGTTCTTGAAGGGAATGCTGGAGCACCAGGAAGGCTGTGCCACCCCACTGTGTGACCCCCTGAGTGCTGAATGCTGGGGGCTGCTCTGCTTCCCCAGATTTCCTGGAGAACACTGCAAAGATCACACAGTTGTTAGCTTTGGAGGGGTGTTCCTGCATTTCCAGTTCCCTGGGTGTAGTGGCACACGGAAAGAGGTGAGAGCAGACCAGGCTATTTCCACCTGTCCAGTTCCCTGGTTTTGCACACAGGTGGGAGAAGGTGAGGGCAGGCCAGGCTGTCCAGGTTTCCAGCAGCATTCCCTGCTGCACAAGGACAGCACGTGAGCGCTACGTGCCTGGCCAGAGCCATGACAGCTCTAACCAGTGTAAATCCAGCCCTGGACAGGGAAGGCTGGCCTGCTCTGGAAGGACCATCCTCCTCTGGAAGCCTGGCAGAGCTGGGCTTCCCCCGTGTAGTTCCAGCAAACAGGTCTTGTGCCAGCAGTAAACGAATGTGACAGATAAAATTTGCTCAGACTGCTGTGTTTACACCCACTCCAAGATCCAAATCATCATTTCCCACTTACTGGCTCTCTTGGCAGCTCAGATCCTACCCCGGCACACTCCAGGCTTGCTGTTTAATGCCTCCATTACAACTGGCAAAGGGAATTGTGTTCTCTTGCAGCTTTACCTTGTTAACAAATCCCTTTTATTGGTTTGCCTTATAGAAGCCATGAAGTACCCAGAACAATTTTCCTGGGAGTTGGGAAATGGTTTGGTCTGGACCTGTGTGTGTGCCTAAATATAGGCTCCATGGCAGTGCTTTTGTGGCAAACCCAATCTTAAACTGTGTGTTTTTTCCAAACATCAGGAAAATACACTGTCCCTAGCCCAGGCAATATTTATGTTTTTTAAAATTTCTTTTCATCTGTGTATTCTCTCTTTCTCTCTTTACCCACCCTCTATATATTCTGTTCTCTTTATGCATAGTTTATTTATATAGTCTCAGCTGGGTAGATTGAATTTTGGTAACCTTTGAATCACCTTTTTAACCATCCCACACACTGTAGAGCCTCCCTGTTTCCCTCCTTTTTCCTTCCCAAGCCTGAATGTTAGCCTGGACCCTTCCCTCGGAGGCTGAAGGCCAGAATGGAGCTGGAGGTGGCTGTGGAGAAGACAGGGAGGAATCCCAAATGGAGAGATTCCCAGAGAAGCCAATCTCCTTTCTCCAGGGAGGAATCCTAAATGGGGGGACTTTGGGAAACCAGTCTCCTGTCTCCCAGGGAGAAATTCCCAAGGGAGAGATATCTAGGGAAGCCAGTCTCCCAGGAAAGCCAGCTTCCTTTTTTCAGGGAGGAATCCCAAGTGGAGGGACTTTGGGAAGCCAGTCTCCTTCTCCCAGGGAGAAATTGCAAATGGAGAGATTCCTAGGGAAGCCAGTCTCCTTTCTCCCAGGGAGAAATCCCAAATGGAGAGATTCCTAGGGAAGCCAATCTCCTCACTCCCAGGGAGAAATCCCAAATGGAGACTCCCAGGGAAGCCCTTGCTCCCTGCTGGTACCTCCAGCCCCAGAGGCAACATGCTCGGCCTGCTTTGATGTTCAGGGATTAAGGGTTAAGGATATTTCTGCTGGGCCTCAGCCTGACACACTTCCTGGGAATGGCTTGGTGCCCACTGGAGCTGGGGATACCCCTTCCCATCTCCCTCCAGGCCCCCTCCCTTCTCCCGAGAGTTCCAGGATGTAGCTGCTAGAATTAAAGTCACAAGAGGTTAATGAGTTGCTAAAATATGCACCTGATGTCAAAAAGAACATTCCCCACGCTTTCCAAGGCTGTAAATACCCCAAATCCCAGGGAATTGGCACTTCTGGCTTTCTGTGAAGCGAGCTGAAGTAGGACAGGCTCTGCGCTGGGGTTTGTTTGTTTAATTTTCCTTCAGACAGTGGGATGCTCCAACCTTCTTCCCGCTTTTCCTCTGTAAACACTGTGTTGCTTTAATTATCAGCACGGAGAGCTCCAAGAACAATAATCTCTGGCGCTGGGGCTGGCCCAGAGCCACCCGTGGCCCCGGGAACAAACGGTCATTCATTTTGCAACCCTTTCTGAACCCGAGTGTTTACATCACACGTTTCGCTCCACGTGGTGGGGTGGGGAGAGCAGGAATATTTTTGCAACACTTAAAAGTTATGAGTGTTCTGAAATCTCTTGGCATTAGCAGTATAAATTGTGGAATAGCAGCAGGTGTTTATGCTCCAGAGGGGGAAGGTGTCAGGGATTCGTTGCTGCTGGGCTGAGGCAGAGAATGGGCTGGGATTGGGGGTTTTCTCCTGTTTCCTGCAGGTTTCCTTAAATATTTTACCCTTTTTACAGTCAGGTCTTGCCTACTTACGACAGCTTGGATGAGCCGTCTGTCAAAATCATGAGCTCCATATTTGCTTCTTCCCTAAACGTGGTCACCACCTTTTACATCATGGTAGGAACTTCCCCCTTCTCTTCCCTTGCCAGAAATCTGGAGGGGCCACAGGGATGAGGATTTATCTACAGCTGGGGCTGCTTTCTGCTTATCTGTATTTATTCTGACAGATAAGTCGTCGTGCTGAAAGCAGAGTTAGGTGGGAGGTGATGAGCCCAAGAGCACAGGGGGCATTGGGAGAATCCAGGTTTTCAGAGTGGCATGTTTCCTTGGATAGAGGCAGAGTGAGGCCCAGCTCTTCCTGGGCCCAGCCTCGAGCAGGGGCTGCTGCCCAGAGTTTGGGAGAGCTTTTTCCAGCCTATTTTGAAGGAAGTTATGCCTCATAAGGCAGCAGTTAATAAAACTGGGTTAATAATTCCTAAGGAGAGCCTTGGTCCGTGAGCCAGGCTGCCACAAGGAATTGTGACAGTCCCTCTGTTGGAGAGGGACAGTCCATGGGCCTGGCAGCAAGCAAAGTGTGTCCTCTAGGAAAACCCCTTGGATCTGATGAGAATCTTGCTTTTAGGCAGTTCCCACTCTTGATTAACGACCTGTCCCAAGTTTTGGGGTGCCCATGGAAGTGACCTCACGTTCTCACTTGGCTGCTCCAACGGGAGGTCACCGTCCTGCCCCCTCTGTGAGGAGCAGGTGTGAAGTGCTGGGAGTCCAACCCCGCTCCCCTCCCCAGGTGGGCTTCTTTGGCTACGTGAGTTACACCGAGGCCATTGCTGGGAACGTCCTGATGAACTTCCCTTCCAACGTGGTGACGGAGATGATCCGAGTGGGATTCATGATGTCGGTGGCAGTGGGGTTCCCCATGATGATCCTGCCCTGCAGACAGGCACTGAACACCCTGCTCTTTGAGCAGCAGGTAAGATCCCAGGGCTGCCTCCGTGTGAAGCTTGATTTTTGAAGGGTTTTTGTGACTCTTTGGTTTCTGACTGGGCCCCAAACCTGCCTTGGCACCCTGAGACTCTGGTGTTAGTGGCATGTGTCAGGTACTCGCTATCCCAAGGGACAAAGCCTCAGCTCCCATAAAATCCTCAGTGCCCAGGGTGTGGTGACAGTGCAGCAGGGGCCTGTGGCCATCCGTAAATCCTGCTCTGCTCAGTGGTTAATTCCTGGCACTTGGAGGTTCATGGCCGCTCTGCAGAGGAATTCCATGGGCCAAAGGACTGGAGTTCCCAGTGTAAAGCTCATGTCCTGTGGCTGCTGCTGCCTGATCCGCTCGGGATTCCAGCTCTGGCACGGACATGTTACACAGCTCAAAGCCGAGGTGGTTTCTTCCTCTCAGAAAAAAGGGAGAAATGTGCTTTGGAAGCAGCAGATCCTCCTCATTTCCTGCTGCTCCAGCTGCTGTCCTTTTGCTGGCCAACTCATTGAGCTCAAGCTCCTGTTCCCAGCCTCGGAGCCCAGCCCAGCCCCATTTCTTCTTGCTTCCTCGTGTGCCTACTCATTCCTGCTCCATTATTCTCACCCAGCACTTTTGTCAGCAGCCCTGGAGCAGCCCTTTCCTCTCTGGGTTTGGATGTCCCCTTCCTCCAGCACCTCCCGGGCTGCGGTGCCGGCCCACTGCGGGGGCGGGCAGTGGGATGTGGGATCCAGCCCTCTCCCACACGTTCCACCTTTCCCAGGGCCAGCTCCTCAGCCAGCCTTTGTGACTGAAGCTGGTCTGTCTGCTGGAGACTGTGAGTCCCTTGTGGCAGTGGCGTGTTCTCCTCTGTGCATTGTGCGCACGGAGCGCGCCGATGGGATTCAGCAAATAACAGTGAGAGATTGTGGGAATGTTCTGAGGCCTTTGTGTATCCGCATAAATAGAAACCTCTTAGGCAGGAAATAAAACTTGAGCAATTTATAGCTCTAAATCCTGCCACTTCTGCCTGTGAGAAGCCCCCTGCTCTTTTCTCACGTTGGGAGGGCCTGAGGATGGGGGCAGGCGGTCGGTGAGAGGCAGCGGGTGCAGAGGAGGAAGCTCTGGAAACACTTGGGAGCACTTTGGATCTCGCCTGGGCTCAGCTCGTGGCTGGCTGGGCTCTGAAGGTGTCGCTTTGCCTTCCTCCCCAGTGTGTGCAGCTGGGACCTGCCGGGTCTGCAGGGCACTCTGGGGCCTCTGCCTTCCACACCTCCCACTCGGGAGGTGGGATGGGAAGCAGAGGGCCTCTGGAATTCCTCCAGCAGCACCCATCCTCCCCTGCAGTTTCCCTGGGGTGTTTCCCAGTCAGAGGGGCTGCTCCTGTGGTGGAAAGCAGTGGGAATGGCCCTGCTTCCAGAGCTGTTGGGGAACACCTCTCCCTAGCACAGTCCCCTGTGACCTCTCACTCCTCCTGCACCCTGAGCTCCTTCCTCTTGCCCTTGGCCTTGGGCTGTTCTCCGAGTCCGTGCCTGGGACTGGGGCACAGCTGAGGGGATTGCAGTTGGGATGGGCTGGAGCTGCAGGGAGAATTGCTGAGGGAATCACTGGGGGACTGAGGGAATTGCTGGGGGTCTGGGCACTGTGATACTGGAGCTAAACTCTCCCCCTCCATTCCTGCCCTCCCAGCAGAAGGACGGCACCTTCGCTGCCGGGGGCTACATGCCCCCGCTCCGGTTCAAAGCCCTGACGCTGGCTGTTGTGTTTGGAACCATGGTCGGAGGCATCATGATCCCGAATGGTGAGTGAGGAGCTGGGAACGAGGACTGGCTGCTTTCTCTGGTCTCTGTTATTTGTTTTCCTGGCTGGGGTGACCAGACTCACACCCCATCCTGCCCAGGGGCTCTGGCAGCTGTCCCGTGCTGCTGCTCTGGCACTCCTGGAAAAGACCTTTGCTGACTTTTCCTCTTCTTCCCCAGTGGAAACAGTCCTGGGCCTGACAGGTGCAACCATGGGAAGCCTCATTTGTTTCATCTGCCCAGCTCTTATTTACAAGAAGATCCACAAGAATGCGCTTTGTTCACAGGTCAGTGCTGATGCTGCTTGACATCCCCCTAAGCCCTCTGCAGAGCCTGGGAACGTGCTTCATTTGTTTGCAGCACAGAAACTGCTCAGCACCTCCTCCAGCCTCCCCCTCCAGTCTGCCCAGTACAGGTGGGAGCTGTTCTGGGTGGGTGTCCACCACTTAGGGATGCACAGACAGTGGTAGAGGTGCTGGCCCAAGCTGGAACACCAGCTCTTTTGTCCCTCCAGCAGCAAGTGAAGCAGTCATTTTGTGCATAAAATGCTGCTTCCAGTCCTTCTGCGGGTGGGATTCAGGTTTTGGATCCTCAGAACAGGAAATCCAGGCAGCCTGTAAAACCTTAAAGCCTCACATCCTGGCCTGCCCGGGCTGGGTAAAACAAACAGGGCTCCACGATGTGGTTTGTGCTGCCGACCCTCAGCTTTCTGCTTTCAACCAAAATAATAGTAAAAAGGAACACACACATAGAGGTGTTGCTTCAGGAATTGATTTTCTGAGGGATTGGGGTCGTTCAGAGGCTGTTAGAAGTTTAACTTTTCCTTTTGCTCCAGTTTGAATTGGCCTCCTCAGGGACCGAAACAAAGTGGCTCTTTGCTGGGCTTGATCTCTCTGCTCCTGCAAATACCGTGGGCTGAAATTAACAGCTTTTGGTGTTTTTTTCCTAACAATGATTTAATCCACTGCCTTTTTCATGGGCCTCTGTCCCAACATTCCCAGTCAGGACAGTGCTGGGCTGGGAATAAGGTTTTGGGCACAGTATGGAGTCAGCAAGGGAGAGCAGCACATTTTTGTGGGGCTCACAGAACTGGTGGCTTGTTGTCTGCTTAATGACTTGTGGCTTTGCAAACCTATGTGAATTTTTTAAGCAGGGTGTGCTTTTTTCCTTCCCTGTGCTTTCCCTGACACAAGGAAGTAGTCCAACTTTCCAGCTTTCACTCTGAATTCTGACACTTAGCTCTGAACTTCTTTGAGTGAAACCCTGAGCAGGAGTCTGAATGCCAGCCTGGGTTTTTCAGGGAAACAAAGAGCACTTTCAAGAATTGCTTTCTATTCCGGCTGAGCCAGAGTGTTTCCCTGCAGTGCCTCGAGGCTGCACTCAGGACAGGCTGAGCTCTCAGCCCGGCTGCTCAGGGTGGGACATTGGGGCCCTCACAATGCCCGACCCCAAACCCGGTCACGAGGCTGAGGGAGATGTTTGTCCTGCAGAAATCCCCACAAAGGAGGAAGGGCTTATCTAAAGCATCAGGCCCCGGGTTACTTCTCGAGGGGCTGGCAGCAAGCTGTCCAGCCTTCCCTGAGTGATCCATTGCCTGTCAGGTCTGCATTCCTGCTTGGAGCGAGAGCACACCTGCCCGCCCTGCTCAGCACCTCCCTGCCTCCACAGCCCAGCTCGGAGCCCACCCTCTCCTCCCTCCAGGTCTTTGCAAAGTCATTTATTCTTTCCCTGGAGCTCTGTCTTTGGTCTCCTCCTTCATTCCTGCACTCCTTTGATCAGGTGCTCCACTCCATCAAAGTCAGCTCCTGAAGAAGGTGGGGGGCGGGGGGAGCATGCCATCCCTGGGCTCAGCTGTCCTTCCCTTCTTGTCCCTGTCCAAACAGGGTACACGGACCTTCTCCCTCCTTCTCTGCATCAGCTTTAGCCTCCTTCAGAGCAGCAAACCTCAGCGCCAGCTTTCACACTTTTCGGGGTTATCTTGGCTCTTGTGTTGCTGAGAACTGGCTGCTTTTATCGGGCCACTTCTGGTACCCAGCAGTGTCCAGTGCGGGGCAGGTGGTGACGTGAAAGGCCAGGTTTTTACAGGAGATGGTGCAAACTGAGGCTACGAAAGAGGGATTTTGCACTGAAAGCAGTGGAGACGATTTCAGGTGGAAGAGGGAAATGGGCAGATGTTTGCTGACCGGTGTGGTATTGATGATTCGAGATTGTAGAAAGTCTCTGTCAGCCCCGCTGCCAAAGCAGAAGCCAGAATTGGTCTATGCTGGTTTCCAGGTTGTTTATTCTGTTTATCTCTCACATGTTCTGCTGCCCTGCCCAGCTCTGTCCTGCAGGGCAGCGTGTGGGGCTCTGCCCTCAGTGGGATGTGACAAACATTAAATACCAGAAACTCCCTGGGCTGCATTTACAATAACGTGCTAATATCTGTCACCTACGTTGGACAGTGTGTCCCCAGCCTGAACCAACAGAAAAATGCCAACACCACAGTGAGACATGGAGGGCATGGAGAAGGAGAAAAAGGACAGGGCACACCCAATTTCCTCCATCTTGTTTCCTTTGGACCCCTCATCTATAATCCTAAAATTTTACTTTTGCACCCGTGCCACACCTAATTATTACTTATATCAAACACTCAGAGCTTGTGATTAATCCTGTAAGGTTGAAAACTCTTTTCCATGGACAGAGATCACAGCCAGTGTCTCTGGGGGCTCTGTCCAGGGGGTTTCTGACCCCTGCCAGGGTCCCAGACCTGCCAGGGCAGCCAGAGGGAAGCCCCTGGATTCCCACAGACCAGCAAAGGGCTTCTGCTGAGGAGCTGGGAAGGATTGGAGCTGCTGCTCAGCTGGGCTGGGCTGGGAGTGCCCTGGTTGGAAGGGTTAGGTTGGAAAGGCAGGTCCCAGAGCAGTGAAAAAGCCCAGAGTCAGGCACACAGTGCTGTGAGTGAAGCCGGGAGAGCGTTCCCTTTCTTGTGGTTAAGCATCTGTTCCTGTGAAGGTCCGTGTCCCGCTGCTCCCCGGGAGCCCCGCTTTGGCAGAGCTGCCGCGGGGCGTGTGGGGGTCTGGGAGCAGAGTGTGCAGCTGCCAACAGGAAGGTGTTGCCTTCCCGGTGTTGACACAAGCTTGTCCGAGAGGCCCCTCCTAGGGAGGCTGGAGTTGCTGTTGTCCCAGTTGGGAAAGAAGAGCTGTTGGAGGTCAGGAAGTGACCCCTGGGCTCGCTCCTGTGCGGGTGGAAAAGAGATTCCCTCTGCCCTTCCCTGGCAGCGCAGGGGCCAGCACGCTTTCCCCAGCAGCACGTCCAGGGGTAGAGCCCCCCAAATCCAGCACCTCTGAGGAGAGAGCCAGGAGTGACCGGGGCTCTGCATTCCTGCGCCGTGACTCCGGTCCCTCGGAACGCTCGGTGTCCAGGAGGGCGGGGATGGCGTCACGCCACACAAATGCAGCGTGTTTGCTTCCCGTGGAGGGCTGAGCTAACGGCTCTGCTGTGCAGAGCTGGATCATCTTCTGGGAGGAAGGAGGGCGAAGGGAGCGCGACCGCCCGAGGAAACGGCCGCGTAAACTTCCTCTGCTGAATCCGCGTCCCAGGAGAGGGGCCCTGGCCATGCTGAGCTGCCCCAGGGCTTTCCACAGCCTCTCACTGTGTCCATGATGAGAGGGGCTTCTGCACAAAGGGCTCTGCTCTTGGTGGGATCGCTGGGTCTGGGGCAGATCGTTCCTGTGGGACCAGAGGCAGAGCTTGGCTCAGACGTGCCTTGCAGTGCTGAGCCTCCCCTTGCTGCAGGATCTCTGCATGCTCTGGGGATTGGTGGCTCCTCCACCTGGATTGGTTCTTTGAGCCCAAGTCCTTGCAGCTCTCACTCCCATTCCTTCAGTTGCTTTGGTGGTCCCCTCAGCACAAACCGCCTGCTTCTCCATGGCATAAGCATCTCTATGGAATTAAGCCAAATCATGGTCCTCTTTATTCTGGTCTTCAGCTGGGGAGGGGTCGGTGAGGAGGGGGGAGCTGGGTGAGGGCGGCTCAGGGACAGCCCAGCCTGTCTCCGACTGCCACGTGTGCCCATACCCGCTGCTCCGGGAGCTCGCAGCTGAACTCCAAATGTGCAACAATCAAAGGGGTTTCAAGCCGAGGCATTTGAGCCCCTGGTTCCCCACTAAGATAAGAAACAACAAAAATCCTTTTAAAGCATTTAATGTTTTCAGCCGTTTCCTACAGCTCCCTCCTCTCCCACGTTGCTCCTGGTTCCTGTGGCACCAGAATAGATCCTCTTTGTGGAAATGCTCTTCCTCTCCGCTGTTGTTTCTGGAAGGTGCCAGAACAACCTCCCAGGCACAAAATGCATTTGTGCCGGGGCTGTGGATTGTGGGAGGGGAGGAAGTGAGGCAGCTCGAGCCCAGGGCAGCAGTGCAGGACCTGCTGACTCGGCGTTTGCCCGGCTGGGGGTGGATGGCAGGATGTCTGCTCTTTGTGCACCCCGGGCAAGGCAGGCAGCACATTCTGCTCCTGTTTCCTCTGCAGCAGCTCTAAGGTCTGGCCTCTGCTCCCTGGCCACGCTGCCCCTGATCCAGAGTTGCTCCACGTCCCGCCAGCCTTTTCCTTCCGAAGGCGTCGGGCTGTCTGCGGGGTGTGCTGGGAACGGGCCCTCCAGGGTCTCCTGGGCCCAGCTCTGACCATGCTGCTCCCTCTTTCTGGGTGACCTTCCTCGGTGTGTGAGGAAAGCGTCGGCCCCTCCTCCCTCTCTGGAAGTGCCAATGTTTTAATTCCTCCTTCCAATTTCACCTCTCCCCTTGATTTGCAGTTTTCTGGCAGCTTCCAGTGGTAAAGTGCTCCCTGTGGCCGTTCCTGGTTTTCCCCACACTGAGAAGCATCTTTTTGTTGTGCTTTTTGTGAATTGGGATGTAAATCTGCACAGTGAGGGTTGGGAGTCATGGAATCATGCAATGGTTTGGGTTGGGAGGCTTAAAGCTTATCCAGTTCCACCTCCTGCCATGGGCAGGGACACCTTCCACTAGACCAGGTTGTCCAAGTGCCACCCAACACTTCCTATGACTCACGTGGAATTAGATCCTTTTAGACCAATTTGTCATCACATAACAAGCTGTAAAAATTCCTTTGCTGCTCATCACTTTCTCCTTTTTGAGGTAGAGAAATTCCAAGAGCCCTTCCCTCCACAGGATCCAGATTCCACCCTTCTATTTTTATCCTGTTTGATCCTAGCTTTCTGGGAATCAGGGAGTCGTTTCTCAGCAGTTTCTTGAGCCCTGGGACCAGGACCTGTGTGTGGACATGTTACCCTTGCTTTCAAAACCAAGGATTTCTAAGCAGCTCCCTGGAATGGTTGGGGGCTATAACCAGGCCAGGCTCCTCTGTGCTCAGCCAGACCTGATTTCATGGAGTTCTCATGCTGGGAATACCAGGAAATGAGTCTTTGCAGTAGGACTTGTCTGCCACATGCATTTTCCTATCCCTGGGTCCTGCCCACTCACTTCACTCACTTTTGAGCTTTTCCAAAGCCTTTCCAACAGCTTCCAGCCTCCGAAACAGCTTCCATTCCCATGGCTCTGCACCCAAATATGAACCTCAGCCAGGAGCAACTGGTTTTCCTTTTTCTCTCTGACATTTCTCTCCCTAACACATGTCACTATGCTGAGCTCGGAATTCTGTGGAGGCACCGTGGGAATGCTGTGGGGAGCAGCCCCCTTGGATGTCCTGTGCTCACTGTCTCTCTGGCACTCTGTGCAGATTATCCTGTGGATTGGGCTGGGAATGCTGGTGATCAGCACCTACACCACCCTGTCTGCCACCGAGGACACTCCTGTGAGGACGGAAGCAGTGGGCTTGGAGCACCTGGACAGAGAGGAGAACAGAATTGACCAGGATTCAGTCAAACTTCCAGGTATTTGCTTGCTGGAGTTGGGTTTCCCAGCCCTGTTCCCGGGTCACCTCTTAAAAAGAAGTTTGTTTTTTTTCAAAGTGTGGCGGAAACAGGGTAATTTCCAGGCAGCTCCATGCATCTTCCCAGCTTCCTGAGGCACTTTCCCAAGAAAAGCTGCATTTTTGTCTGCTGGAAAAGCCGCTGTGACCTCCAGTGGTGCATTGAAGGAGTTGTTCTTTTGGGAAGGGAAAGGTGTGGTGCAGGCCTGGGATCCCCTGGAGGGACAGAGCAGGGATCCCCATTTGGGATGAGCACAGTGCCCACCTGGCCCATGGGCCTGTTCTCCCCCGGTGCCCGCCCAAGGACCAGCCATCCATCACCCTCGAAGGTCGGGAGATTTATGGGGACTGCCTCTTTTTTGGTGCCGAGGGTATAAATTTGGCCTCGGCTTTCGCTCTGACAAAGCCTGTGATTATGCCTCAGCTTTGTTTACTGGTTCTTGTTATTTATTATTTGTTTGCTGGGGCTGCTGATGGAATTACGGCCGCTCCTCCCTTTCCCAGCTGCTCCGGAGCAAGGCCGTGGCGCGCAGGTGCCGCCTGACCCCGCGCTGCCCCTCGGCCCTGCCGCGTCCTGTTCCTTCGCTTCAGTTTTGTTTCCTTCTGCTCCTGTGGGTTTTTTTTTGTTCTTTGGAGGCCTTGAAATATCCTCACAGAGATTGAGAGCGGAAGGGAGAAAGGGGCTGGCTCTTCTGGAGATTATCCTCCCTCCTGGCTCTTGGCTGGGTTCCTGCCCGGCAGCTTGGAGCGACTCCCACACCGGTGCTGCTGCTGATAACATTCACTCTGGGGTTGCTCTGTGGTGAAGTTTACTTGTGGTTTACTCAAGGCTGTGTGTGCTTTGCCGGGCGTGTGGATGCCGGTGAGCTCCAAGCAAAAGATGCTCCCCATCCCTTAACGGAGCCCTCAGCAGGGCCTGGAGGAGGGATATGATTGAATTCTTCCGTCTTGGTTAATTTTGGAGCAGTAATGGCCAAAGAACAGCTGCTCCTTTCAGGAGGAATCGCTAATGACACGTGTTCTGACTGGGAAAATAAAAAATCCCATAAAACACGGTGTCTGCAGGAGTTTGCTGAATCTTCTCCCCTTCTCGGCGTGAGCTGGGGCGGTGGAGCGGGATGCCAGGCTCTGATCATCCGAGCGATCCCGGGGCCTGCTGACAGCAGCTCCGAGTGCTGCTGGATTAAATAATCCCACCCGGGAGGAAGGCGGGTTTAGTGCTCCTGGGTCATAAACTTTCCCGGGAGGAGCCCTGCAGTTCCAAGGGAAAGCTGTCCCCTGAGGTCCCTTTGCCAGTGGGGGCTCCCTCCCCGGGGAGGAGGAAGAGGGGGGAGATGGAGCCGAGCAGAGAAGGGGGACAAGGACCTGCAGGGTGGACGTGGGGCTGCCCCGGGAGAGCCGCCTCTGCGATTCCTTGGATCCGTGCCTCCCTGTGCCTCTGCAGGATGTCGGCTTGACTAGCAATGAGAGGCGTTAAATGGTGCCCTTCATCCCCCGCCGCGGCTCCCCCTCGCCCTCACCCGCCTTGTTTTGCAGAGCAGGAGCTGCCGCCTGGAACGCGCCGCAGCAGCTGCATCCTGTCGTTCCAGGGGCGCAGGATGCGGGCTGGGCCGCCCCCGGCACCTGGGTGCCCTCCGGATGGGCCGGATTCCGCGCCCGGGGCTGCTGCAGGATCCCACGGCTTCTCCCTGGGCAGCACCACTGGGTGCTCAGCCCCTTCCCCAGGGCACAGGGTGCCTTGTGCCCCTTCCCTGGCTGCAGGGTGCTGCTCCAGGCTCCTTTCCTGGCTGGAGGGTGCTGCTCCCAGCCCTTTTCTTGCATGGAGGGTTCTTCCAGACCCCTTCTTCCAGGTAGAATGTGCTTCTGTGCCTCTGGGTCAGAGGGTGCTCAGCCCCTTCCCTGGGCACAGGCTTGCTCCGTGCCCTTTCCCATGCTGCCCCGTCCAAGGCAAACCGCAGGGCCTTTCCCCAGCGCTGCCTTCCCCGTCTGCCTCCCGCCTGTCAGCGTGTGAGAGGAGTTTTATTGGCCTCTTTGATGTTGTGGAGCCCAGAACTGGAGAGACTTTCATTAAAGCCCTGCCCCGTGGGCCCGGGGATTATGAATATTAGAACATTGGCCTTTTATGTGAACACGTATTGACCAGCGGCCTCGGAATCGTGTTTTTCCTAACGACACCCAAGTGCCCATTACAGCCCCAGCCTGTGGTGCTGGAGGTTTTACTGTCAGCAGCTCTTCGGGAAAGGGATAAAACCCCTTCCAGCCCCGTCCTGCCGCTCCGTGCCGCGGCTGCGCCTCTGTTAAAAGGTTGCTAAGCTGCCTCTGAAAGCTCAGGAAGGCAATTATCCATTAAAAAAAAAAAAAAAAAAAGCTAATTAGGCAATTTCTCTCCGTATTTAAAGCACCCTCAAGGGTCTCGGGGGGGATTAAGATTTTGTAATATTTTTCAGCTCCTTACTTGCTCGTTGCTGCTTCATCTTCTCCCTGCAGTTGTGCAACGCTGGGTAACAAAGCCTTGATTCAGGCTCCTTGTGCAAGAGCCCTTTTCCCGGTGCACCGGGCACCGTGCTCCGGCCATCCCGGTGTCCTGGGGCATGGGGTGGGCTCTGGTTCTTGAAATGGGGCAAAATTTGGCGTTGTGTTTGGCGCACGACATCCCTGCACCCTCCATCCCTGCATCCGTGTGTGCTTTGCCCCCCAGAAGCAACGTGCCCGAGGCAGGCTGGGTCGCTGCCGGCATTCCCAGCCCCGGAGATGTGTGGAACGTGGCTCCTGCATCCTGCGGAGCTGCAGGAACAGCTTGGCTCCACGGAGGCTCTCCCTGGTGCTTTGTGCGAGCGAGCTTTTAATAGTGCCTGTGACACAGAAAAGGAACCAGCAGCCTCTGGTAATTTGGGTTGGTTTTTACTGCTGGTGCGTCAGGAGACAACTGTGAACTAATTTCAGGGATGCCATTCCATAACCTTGTGAAATCTGGACCCGTTTCGGGGGGAGGGAGGGCTCCTGGAGGCGCAGCTGGGCTGGGGGCTCCTTGGGGAGGGCCCGGCCCTGCCCTGCTCCCGGCGCGGGGCTGCTCGGCACGTCCGAGGGCAGCGTTTGCCCCCAGCCCTCTGCCCCACTTGTTGGGCTCCGTTTTCCTTGGCACGGGCTCCTGGATCTTGCTCCATATCATGCGATGAAGGAATTTCAGCAGATCTGGAGCTGCACTGGCACAAGCAGATCCTGAACCCTGTGTCCCTGGTCAGCCCTGGGGTGATACCCTGGAGTGGGGGGGTGTGTCCTGGTGTTCCTTGTGCTGTCCCTAAGGCTTCCTCTGGACAGGGGGCGAGCACAGCAGGGTCCATTCCACTGCCTCTGCCCAGGGCAGGGGCTGTGGAAGCACATTTCGGCTCCAAGAGGCTGGAAGAACGTGTGAGGAGGGATTTAGTGCCTGCCTGGGACCATTGCAGCGATCTGAACCAGGAGCAGGGGGAGAAGGGAAGCTTTTAGGTTGCTAATCATGAAATTTTATGGCAGCCTGGAGAGGCTGTTGCCAAACCACAACACACCCAGGCACGCACACACACAAATCAGCTGCAGGACGCCCTGGCTTCCCCTCATGTGAGCAGAGCTGCTGGAAAGCCAGGGGGTCAGAGCGAAGCCTCTCGGTGCTGCCTCACACCCCGGCCTCTCCTTGGGAGCCAAAAAGCTTTTACAGCCTCTCAGACCTTGCCTGTAATGTCCAAGGCCACTCATAAAACATGACGAGGCACGGCGTTGCTGGAGGACGCTTCAAAGGGACCTGGAGGGCAAGAAGACAGGCAGAGCCCCAGCAAAACTCTTCCCTGCAAATATCCCGGAGCCCTGGATGGATTTCCAGGCAGCCTGAGAGGTTGTTAATTCACGCCCTGATGATGAACTTAATTTTGTCTCCTGCTGAGCAAATGATGGCTTCGAGGCAGCTTGGCCTTATTGCGGCGTGGAGACTTTTGGGTTTGTGTTTTGTTTGTGTTTTGGGCTTTTCCTGCATTGTTTGCAGAGCAGGGAACGTGCCTCTGCCTGATTTATGATGGAAGCTGCCAGGGACACTCCCGGAGCAGAGCGGGGCCTCCCCCGGCCCCTCGGGCTGCCCTGGGCTCGCGGGGGGTTCACCTGCTGCTCTGGGCAGGGAACTGCTGCGTTTAACTCCTCCGCTTCCTGCTGGCAAGGAAAGCTTCCCCCCATCTTCCTTCTTATTTCCTCCTCTCCTCCTTTTTATTTCCCCCTCCTTCCTTTTTATTTCCCCCTGAACATCATCTCACTGCTCAGCTCATCGCTCCCATCTGCTGTGGGAACAGCCCTGCCTGTGTTGGGGTTCTCTGGATCCTCCAGTCCTCTCTGACCGGAGCCATCTCCCGCCTCCATGAACCAATTAACAAGAAACTTTCCTCCAGTAGAGTAAATAATTTCTTGCATTGGGGCCAGGATTGAGCTGGGAACATCCGCAGCCGTGCCGAGCGCTCCCCTCCCTGGCCTCGGCCTCCCGCTTCCCAGGGCCCCTGGCCAGGGCTGGGCACTGGTTCCTGCAGCCCAGTTCTTCCTGAAAAGGAGGAGTGTCCTGCCCTGACTTGCTGAACCCTGGGAAGTCCCTCAATGGAGAGGGGGACCCTTGGGTACTAGACTGGAATTTCTCAGAAAATCCAAGTCCTTTTCCCCTCCCACCATCACTGCCGAAGCGCAGGAACGTGGAAAGCTGGCCAACCCCACACACGTCCCTCCTCTGGGTGTGGAGCTCCGGGCTGGAGTCCGGGTTTCTGGAGAGGCTCAAGGTCCTGCTGGCACAGATCCCTCTGGGCCAGGAGTTTGTACTTAATTTTTTGTGAATTTTTGTTGTTCCCCCCCTTCCCCAGCTCAGGCAAGGCCCACGCAGCTGAAGTTGTGGCAATCCCTTCTTTCCCATGAGTTCATCTCGTAATAAATCGCACCAGCCCTGCGGAGGGGGAGGAGAAAATGGAAAGATGTTTATAGAATTAATTCCCCAAAGGAAATCACACGGGGGAGGGCAAAGGGGGAAAGAGTTGGGAATTTTTTTTTTGTTACAGAAGATAGATTTTTTTTTTTTAAGAGTTTGTTGGATGGAAAAAAATCTGCAGAACAACTTCACTGCTGGGAAACAATTCTGTTTCCTTCTCTGCTTCTCTCCAAAGGAAGAGTTCACTCCCTGTGTGGGTTTTCTGCCATGCTGGGATTGGAAGGGACCCTTCCCATCCCATGGAATGTGCAAAAGATTCCATGTGGAATATGTTGGTCATAGCAGTGCTGAACACAGTGACTGGTTTGACTGGGATGTGTCTTCCAAAAACATTCAATGTCTTTGAGGGCGAGGTGGGGCAAAACTCCCCCTTCTCCCTCAGGAGTGTTTAATTAATACTTGTTTAATCCCCCTCCTCAAAACTTCTGTGGGAAAAGGAATCCTCCCTACCCCTCCTCTGAGAGGCATCTGAAGGTCTGTGGGAACACTCGGTCACTAAAAAACAGGGAAAAAAATCAAAATAAAGGAGGTTTTAAGACGTTTCACAGCAAACAGCAGTGGCGGGGTGGGAGCTGGGCTGGAGCCCAGCTCGGTTCTGCTGTTGGGGGTTCGGGGCTGGGTCGCAGCTCTGTCTCTTCCAGTGCCGGGGCATCGGCTCTGGATTCCTGCTCGATCTCTCCCGGAGCCGGGGGTCTGGGACAGCGAGCCGGGGGGATGCTACCATCTGGTGGTGCTGGCCCGCAGCAGCAGCCGGCTCCATCCCTGCTCCATCTCCGCTCCATTCGTGCTCCATCCCTGCTCCATCCCTGCTCCATCCCTGCTCCATCCTGGCTGCAACCCTGCTCCATCCCTGCTCCATCCCATCTCCATCCATGCTCCATCCCAGCTCCATCTCTGCTCCATCTCCGCTCCATTTGTGCTCCATCCCAGCTCCATCCCTGCTCCATCCCTGCTCCATCCTGGCT